TTCAGGAAATCCAGTTCATAGTTTGCAGCAGCTACAACGTGAGGACTGAGTTAGCAGCACTGTAGCTAACAGCTAACACACTTTTCATGTAAACATGTCGCTGTGTGGAAGTATTTTACACTAAACACCACAAAACAAGACAGCAACATCTGCAGAGCCATAGCACCACATTAAACCACGGTAAAGTTAGTTTTGCGATGGACATTCAAGCTCCGGGGCTTCAGGGGGCGCTGCTCTTTGGTCAACCGAAAAGAGGTGACTCAACCCCGGCCAGCCGTGTCCAATCTGTCCCGCTCCGTCTGCTCGTCTCTGAGGAGGGACAGACTGAGCACGGCTGACCGAAATCAGACTGCCTGCTTCGGACTGAACAAGAAGAAGACGTCGCTGAAACCACGGAGCTCGAATGTTTACAGAGAAGTTGATAAACTTCATCATAATTAATGACCAACCGCTATCAGTTGTAGAAAACAAAGGATTTCACAGTTTGATACTTGCAGCCAAGATATAGTTTACCCTCCAGAGATATTTATCAGTACAACAGTAGACAATCATAAAAAACATAGGATTTAAAAATTATATATATTAAAAACAAAAACAGCTACATTATAAAGTGATGTAAAATACTAAAAACAGGAACATGCCTGTTGGTTTATGCCATGAACTTAGTAGATGTTTGAAGCCATTTAACATTTTATTTTATTTAATTCATTTATTCATTCATTTAAAAGAAACAAAATTTAAAAAAAAATCCTCAAAAAGAAAACATTGAATGAAAAGAGTGCAGAAAGAAGAAAAAAATTCTTATATCTGCCCCTTATTTAAAAAAAATATAAAATAACTTTAAACAATCACTTAAATTAATCAACACTTTAAAGCTAGGAATAAAAATAAACATGTTTTGTGTTAGCAGGATTTAATTAACTTTAAACTTATCCAACATTAATAAAACTTACCTCAAGTTGCCTTTTTGGACATGCATGCATATATTTGTACAAATTGTACTTGAGAGCAGATTATTACAGCCTCATATAAAATCAATGATCATGATATCGGAACTGGATCGGTATCGGCCGATATTTAGATGTAGGTATCGTGATCGGATCGGAAGTTAGAAAAAGTGGATCGGTGCATCCCTAATGGAAATGTTCTTATAATTTCATTTAGGCTTGGTCAGTGGTCATCATTGAATCAGGATCATCATTGAATCAGGATCATCACTGAATCAGGATCA